AAAAAAAACAGTGGGGTGGTACAAAAACATATCAAATATTCGAAAAAGGGGCATAATGATGAAATATATTTTAAAGATGATATAGATCCCTGGGACGTCATTTATATCTAAATTTGATTTGCCGCGGTTTTCACTGAAAATACAGAAATCACAACGCAAATATGAAGGGTAATTTATTATCATTAATTTGTGCTGTAGATCTTTCATTTTCTCAAAATAAGGAGTCTGCGGGTCAGTAAACCGGACAATTTAAAAAAAAAATGGCCTAAATATCTAAAATAATGACATTATAAATGTATCATCGTTGCCGAGTGTTATTGTTGACAAGAGAATGACAATCGCCCATGACCACATAGAATATTCATCTTGAATCCTACCTAAAATTTATATTTGTTTGTTGTTCAATTCAGATATAACAAAATATGTAGTATTTAAATCCTACAAGTAATTTTTTTTTTTTTTTTTTGAGGGCTGCTGAGGTTATGATGTGTTTCGTATTCTAAGATACAATATATGTATAGAGGTGTCAAAACCATGTCTATGTCGATTATCTTATCGCATGTATTTGTCACATTTTATGACAATTCTTCCATCTCAATATCCTGAAGTATTTTATTCCAAAAATCAACAATGGACACTGAATCGTGATTGGAATGTTCGGATATCCGACTCTAGATGACATCCCTAATTAATTTTTTCAACATCCATGTCAGAGTTATGTCCTCTTTCATATTAAATGGTATAGAAATAGTGGGATGGTACAAAAACACTTAACAAAAAGTATGATGCAGATGTTTTGGCAGTAGAGTAGGATAGCTCTCCCTATAAGTCAAAGTTAAAAAAACAACCAAACCATTTTCAATGTTGAAAATTAATGTAATTATTATTACACAACAACAATACATGTAAACAAACAAATATTAGAATATTCTATTATCACAGCAAAAACACTCATGTCTCTCTATAATATTCTGTTTATATATTCTTTATATTTACAAACAAGATCTTAAAGATCAAATCTAATTAACTTTTGCATTTTCATTTTTGCTCTTAAAGTTAATTGTCCTTTGAAAGGATGCGAGAAAACAGAAACAAAAATATAATATATACTAAATAAAACAAAAGCATAAACATTAATTTCCATTTTGACTTATTGACTTGTATCCAAGAAATGGCAGCACTGTAAATTTCCTCAAATCCACCTAAAACTAGTTTGAAGTAGCCCATCAATTATGTTCATTTATAAGATAATTGTTTTCATTAAGTTTCAATAACATGATAAAAGCACAGCACTTGTAAACCCCTTACATCAATTAAAGTTTCAATATATGGTTCCAAAAAATATTCACAAAAATGACATCATTAAAACGTAACATATTAAATACTCCACTGTACATAAGAGAGTGAAATGCCACTAGTTTATATAAGCCACTGTTGACTTTAACCTTGTGATAAGCCTTGTAATTTATAAAACATAAAACACTATCAGTCCTTCAAGATAAGATGAGTGAATTGTAATTTATGTACAATAATGAAATGATTTCCAGACTATGCTTGACAAATTTAATATCCGAGCCTTTCCAGTAAAAAAATCATTATTATTATCTACTATGTAAAACAAAAATAATTAATAATAATTAATAATCTGTTTTGTTAAAATGATACCTAAACAAAATATCCAATATCAGCAGTATTTGATTTTAGTAAAATATAACAAGTGTCCAATTAAATCTATGTCCATAATGAATGGTCAAACATGAAACAAGCAGAAGGAAAGAGTTGAAAAAAGAGCAAAACAAAATAATCAAAGTTATATTCAAGAAATTAAAATGACATCATTATTGTTAATTTAACAAAATATCTTACAATCAGTAAATCAAAATATCCTATCTAACCAATAGCTGGTAATGAATTATGCCATGTGAATATCCAATATATTCATAGTTCTTTTACCATTGCCCTGTACAATATGGGATATATTTGGATGCACACACAGCTTGAGAACTTACCTGGGGGCTCATCCCTTATGGTTTCTCCAACTGTGTACTTGTCCTTATATATTCTAGTATTGTATAGGGCAATGTTAACAACCTGCAGTCAATCATAGACATTTCCTATGATATAACGTATGACTCTGATCAACTTAACCTTTAGGCTGATGAATATGTTAAATGGATTTGCCCAACTTTGATAGTTGAACAATAAATTCAACATGGAAGGGATTTCAATATTGAGATAGCCTGGTCATACTACATGGGTGTGCAGGCTGGCCTATATCTATCTGGCCTAGCTCTATCAGACTACACCAGTGTGCAGGCTGGCCTAGCTCTATCAGACTACACCAGTGTGCAGGCTGGCCTAGCTCTATCAGACTACACCAGTGTGCAGGCTGGCCTAGCTCTATCTGACTACACCAGTGTGCAGGCTGGCCTAGCTCTATCTGGCTACACCAGTGTGCAGGCTGGCCTAGCTCTATCAGACTACACCAGTGTGCAGACTGGCCTAGCTCTATCTGACTACACCAGTGTGCAGGCTGGCCTAGCTCTATCTGACTACACAGGTGTGCAGGCTGGCCTAGCTCTGTCAGACTACACCAGTGTGCAGGCTGGCCTAGCTCTATCTGACTACACCAGTGTGCAGGCTGGCCTAGCTCTATCTGACTACACCAGTGTGCAGACTGGCCTAGCTCTATCTGACTACACCAGTGTGCAGGCTGGCCTAGCTCTATCTGACAACAAAGGTGTGCAGGCTGGCCTAGCTCTATCTGACTACACAGGTGTGCAGGCTGGCCTAGCTCTATCAGACTACATGGGTGTGCAGGCTGGCCTAGCTCTATCAGACTACATGGGTGTGCAGGCTGGCCTAGTTCTATCAAATTACATGGGTTTACAGGCTTGCCTAGCTCTGTCAGACTACATGGGTGTGCAGGCTGGCCTAGCTCTACCAGACTACATGGGTGTGCAGGCTGGCCTAGCTCTGTCACACTACACAGGTGTGCAGACTGGCCTAGCTCTATCTGACTACACTAGTGTGCAGGCTGGCCTAGCTCTATCAGACTACATGGGTGTGCAGGCTGGCCTAGCTCTATCAGACTACATGGGTGTGCAGGCTGGCCTAGCTCTTTCAGACTACACAGCTGTGCAGACTGGCCTAGGTCTATCTGACTACACAGATGTACAGGCTGGCCTAGCTCTATCAGACTACACAGGATTGCAGACTAGCCAAGGTCTATCAGACTACATGGGTGAGCAGGCTGGTCTAACTCTGTCAGACTACATGGGTGTGCAGGCTGGCCTAGCTCTATCAGGCTACATGGGTGTGCAGGCTGGCTTAGCTCTATCTGACTACACGGGTATGCAGACTGGCCTAGCTCTATCAGACTACATGGGTGTGCAGGCTGGCCTAGCTCTGTCAAATTACATGGGTGTACAGGCTGGCATAGCTCTGTCAGACTACACGGGTGTGAAGGCTGGCCTAGCCCTCTACTGATGGCAAGGGCTAATCATGCTTTGTTCCAGAATGTTAACCAGTTAAATGATTAATTACACAATTAAATTAACATATATATTGTAGTGATAAGTTATCAAATTATTTATCAAATTATCAGAACAGAAGAACAGAAACAAGAGGGCCATGATGGCCCTGAGATCGCTCACCTGTATATAGGCCCCTGGAGCGGGGCCAGTTTAAACCCCAGAGCTTTTATATGAACAAACTTGGAAGACACCCATTAGAAGATGTTTCATGATGTTAAGTTTTTTACTACACACATATAATGAAAAACAATGATATTTCCCCCCCCCCCCCCCACTTTGGCAGGGCCAATTTTAACCCAAGGGCTTTTATTTGAACAAACTTGGTAGACACCAACAAAAAAGATGTTTCCTGCTTAAAATCTAACCTCGAGCTCATTGGGTTTTTTAAAAGAAGATTTTTTTAAGTTTTTACTATACACATATAGTTAAAAACAATGACACCTCTGGGGCTTAGCCAGTTTTTAACCCAGGGCTTTTATTTGAACAAACTTTGTAGACACTTACAAGAAGATGTTTCATGCTTAATATCTAAACTCTAGCTATTTGGGTTTTTTTCAAGAAGATTTTTAAAGTCTTTGCCATACATATATAAGAAAATCAATGACCCCCGGGGGCGGGGCCATTTTTTGACCCCAGAGCTTTTATTTGAACAAACTTTGTAGACACTCACTAGAAGATGTTTCATGCTTAATATCTAAACTCTAGCTATTTGGGTTTTTTCAAAGAAGATTTTTTAAGTTTTTGCTATACACATATAAGGAAAATCAATGACCCCTGGGGGCCAATTTTGACCCAGGGCTTTTATTTGAAACAAACTTTGTAGACACCCATTAGAACATGTTTCATGCTAAATATCTTAGCTCTAGCTCTTTGGGTTCTTTAAAAGTAGATTTTTTAAGTTTTTACCATATGCATATAGGGAAAATCAATGACCACCTGGGGCGGACCAATTTTCATCCCAGGGCTTTTATTTGAACAAACTTTGTAGACACCCATTAGAACATGTTTCATGCTAAATATCTTAGCTCTAGCTCTTTGGGTTCTTAAAAAGAAGATTTTTAAAGTTTTTACTATATGCATATAGGGAAAATCAATGACCCCCCTGGGGCAGGGCCAATTTTCACCCCAGGGCTTTTATTTGAACAAACTTGGTAGACACTCACTAGAAGATGTTTCATGCCAAATATCTAAGCTCTAGCTCTTTGGGTTCTTTAAAAGTAGATTTTTTAAGTTTTTTACTATATGCATATAGGGAAAATCAATGACCACCTGGGGCGGGACCAATTTTCACCCCAGGGCTTTTATTTGAACAAACTTTGTAGACACCCATTAGAACATGTTTCATGCTAAATATCTTAGCTCTAGCTCTTTGGGTTCTTTAAAAGAAGATTTTTAAAGTTTTTACTATATGCATATAGGGAAAAATCAATGACCCTTCTGGGGCAGGGCCAATTTTCACCCCAGGGCTTTTTATTTGAACAAACTTGGTAGACACTCACTAGAAGATGTTTCATGCCAAATATCTAAGCTCTAGCTCTTTGGGTTTTTTAAAAGAAGATATGTAAAGTTTTTTTCTTTCGGTTGCCATGGCAACCAGAGTTCTGCATGGAATTAAATTCTTTGAACAATTTTTAAAGGTGACCACCAAAAGGAACATTCCTGTGAAGTTTGAATGAAATTGGCTTAGTGGTTTATGAGGAGATGTCATTTAAAGTAAAAGTTTACGGACGGACGGACGACGGACGGACGGCGGACGAAAAGTGATCACAAAAGCTCACCCTGTCACTTTGTGACAGGTGAGCTAAAAATAGCACTTATATTCACATGACATAAACTTTAAATAATAAAGAAAAAGATTATTGAGCAAAAAAAGTAAATAAAATATCATTCATTCAACCAGTAAAATAACTCGAAAATGATCTTTTCTATCAAGACCCAAAAAACATTTTATTACAATTTCATATGTTTGCGTAAACACACAGATATCCCATTCCAGAATTTATTGATTCTCTTGAACGTAAATCTTGCAAAATTCATTATATTTTCTTAAACTTTGGATGCAATTTGACAGTTGTCCATGAATTTTTCAGCATGATTTTGTGTCTTCTAATATAAGAACATATAGCCTCAATTGAGACTCCATATATTGATCAAATTATATAAATTACAGCAGCTACTCCTTTCTGCCATCGTTGTATTTCATTTTGCATTAGACAATAGCAAATCTTGAAATACATTTAAATTTGCATAACCATCTATGACAAAAACACATAGTTAATAATAAATTAAAGGATTTTTTTCCTAGAATTGTTTACAGGTAAGTTTCATATCTACCAGTATCAGGATTTCTAGTTTGCCTTGGCACGGTCGGCACGGCTAAATCTTCTTCATCATCCTGACCACTCGGTACATGGTTTAAAGGGACTTGGTGATCGGGACAATGTTGCTGTGTAAGATTGGCCTGAGCCATTGAATCTGTTGACGAGTTACTAGAATTAAGATGTATAGAATCCTGTTGCTGGTCAAAATCTTGCTGGTCATCTGACGGAGTAAAATCACCGTCATATGGATCAGCTGGGTAACGATAGCGAAACTGATCTTGAGCATCAACGGATGGGGAATTTCTGGAAGAACTATTAGAATTAATATGCAGGTGTTGAAGGTGTAAACTAAGGTCTTCTTGTGAGCCTGACAAACTGCCTGGTTGACTATCTGCTGGGGTCATTGGTGTCTGAGGTGTATTGTTAGGTGCTGGTGGGGTAAGATATGTATCATCACCAGCTGAAGGGTTACCATCTACTGCGTGTTGAAGTGTTAGTGAAGGGTTTGTACTTGTAGTTGAATCATTATTACTGCTAGTTAATGTAGAACCTCCATTAGGTACTGTCTGATTTGCTTCCCCTCCATCTCCACTTGGTCTGACTGATTCATCACCATGAAACTTAAGACCAGCAATTCCTTTAATACCGGGGACATTACGCAAGTCTCTCCTTATTCGCCTTCGTCTAGTTTGATCATTACGACGAAATTGTCTCATATTTTCCAAATCAATTACATACAAGAACCCAGCAATAAGTAGCTCAAACATTTTATCTCCTTGTTTGTAGCGATTTTCAAGTTCTAGACTTGTGCGCTCATCATATTGCCACCATCCATTCCTACCTTCATAAAACCATTGGTAACCTTCATCAAAAATAGACAATGATTTTTCTTTTATTTCATTCTCACATAATAATTTAGGATCATTAAAGAAGTCTGAAGGAATTTCTTGTCTACATAATGCACATCTTTTACTTCTATTGGCAACACCTTTAACACAGAGAAAGCAGAAGATATGCCTACACGGTAGCTGTACAGGGAAACTGGCACCTTGTAGACACACTGGACACTCAAATTCTGGTACAACTGGCTCTGAAAATATAAATGTAAAACATAAAAATTAAATTGCTTGATTTTAAATTCATATTAAAGCATTCCCCACACAATTTTTTTAACAAGAGCTTGTGATAGGACAGCCTGCTTGGGGACGTTACTTTCTTCATTGCTTGATGGTAAAACAAGATAATGTAGGATTTTCTGAGTTCAAAATGGGGGCCATAATTAAATGTTCAAAATCAAATTCCGATTAATAGTTGTTATGGGCCTTGGTCAGTGACCTCCTATTTTACTCTCAAACAAGTGAGAAGTTTCGACCAGTTCCCTTCAGTATATTTGGAGATATCAACTTGCATACAAAAGTTTAGCCAAAGTGTGACGTAGTCGCCTGGGTAAGTACAATTATTCTCCTCATTTTTCGAAGAATCAAGCTAAAAATTATTTCCCATTTTTATCTTTTAACTTTTTTTAATACATTGGGTTATTAAACATGTATTGGAGTTTTTAAACCTGAAGTGTTGAAATGTTTTAGAGCAAAATGCATCTGTTACAGACAGAGATTTAATGATAAACAGAAAGTTTGTCATACCATTAAGTTGTCAAACTTACATTTTACTGGGATGCTACATATTATCGGACAAAATATGATGTTTTTTATCTGTAACTTTTTATTTAAAATAATAAAAAAGAAGGGGAATTTTTTTAACCCAAAATATTTTGGGGGTTTCTTAATACACGTTAAACATTTCCTTTATTAAACATGAAAAATTAAACATTAGACCATAATAGAAATGTTCTTTAAAGTAGGTCATTTTAAGAGGGGAAAAAAACGGTGTAGAAAAACTCGATTTAAAAAGACATTGTGTTTTAAAAATTTTTTTAAAATCTTTTTAAAATTTAAAAATTAAAACTTTAAAAAAATCAGGATGGGGAAAATACTTTCTATTGAAAGGGGAAGGTTAAGATATTTTGAAAAACCCCCGGGATGTCACTTGAAAAAGACCGGCAGCCATGCGTTTATTTAAGAGGCCCCATATAAAAGGGGGTAATTGAAAAATTAAAAATATTAACTCAATTAACATAATTTTTTCTTCATGAAACCTGAAAAGTATGAAAAATTTTGAATTCAAAAGGAAAATTTGTTTTTTTGTCCCTACAGTTTTTCCCTTTTTTTCATTTTAGCATGTTTCAAAAACCCTAAAGTCCCCATTTTATTTTCATTTTCATATAGACTTTCCTCCCATGGACGTAACCCGTTTTCCTTATATTTTTTTAAGTTGCATTTCTTTGTAAAAGACAACAACGAGATACTGTTTGGACTAAATTAAAAATACTTTTTTATCATTAAAATATGTTTTGATTGTCTCTTCAGATAACATTGAGAAGAATTAAAAGTAAAACCTATCTAAAATAACCCATTAATGGCCTCCATATTCGGGCCTGCACAGAACAGATTTCCCCCGCATGACCAGGTCATGAAATAACTAGTAAACAAAAGGCATGTAGTAAATAAAGAACTGAATCAACAATATTTTATCTGAGAGTGGTTTTGTTGTTATTTACTTTGAAAATAGAAAAGTGTGTTCGATTCAGACTGTATGATTTTTTAATCGAAGCAAAAAATAAAGCACTATTCGGCAGGAATAGCTTTTGTCCGGTAAACTGAATGTCCAGTAAATATGAAGGATCCCAGTATAGTATATGTTGAGAACATTTCGTCAATGGGCCAAACAAATTGTCCATAAACAATATTTTTATATTCCGCTTTTCATTTTTTTAATTGGAGAAATCAATTTAATCATAAAAATTGGATACTCCTACTTTGCACTTTAAAATAATAACATTTAAAGGGTATGAAAGATGTATAATCCAATCAGACAAATATTATACAACTTCAATCATATTCATAAAGAGGTGTGATAATCCAAATACTATTAATCAAGACACTCAAGTTTATCACTGTACTTACACGGTCCGAAAAATATAAGTTATATGATATCATATAGGAATATCTCATTTTTACATTATTTCACTGGGCAATTTTGCAATAACTATAAACAAAATTGATCAAGTTTACCTTAATCAAGACAAATAAAAAGCAAGATGGTCTATGTATCTCAGTTGGGTGTCAAACCCACTTATAACTTTGATGGAATTTTTTGATAATAAAACATAATAGGTGACAGGTTTGGGGACATGTTGGCTAAGGGATGAGTGACCTAAAATAACACAAGTTGACTACGGGACAAGTTGACTTAAGGTCAAGTCTATCTTATCTTATCTTATCCTATCCCCTCGTGGGAAAGTAGTCATGTCTGCACATCAAAATCGCAAGAAAGGGTTGTTTAAAGAGGATACATGTAAAAGAAGAATGTTTAAAAATGTTAATAGGATAATATGTTCAATGCTAGCTATGGCTGCAATGCACTGCTCTGGGGTAGGGAGTAGGGAAACTGCAGGGGGTAGGTTGTTCCAAATGGTATAGTCCTTGGAAAGAAGGAAGAATTTATAACAGTCTGAAGTTAATGTAAATGGTGTGAAGTTAAGGAAATGGGTGTCACATATTTTCTTTCTATGGGGATTGTATTCAAACCATGGTGCATCTTATAGAAAAAAGGAAAACCTAGCATCTTATGCGTCTGAGTTCTCTTTTCAAAGCTTAAGGGAATAAGCATGCCCATGAAGCTAAAGGTCTGACCATAATCTACAATGTATCTTGATCCATCGACCCTCTCTCTTCTTTTGGATATTTTCAATTTGATCTATTTGTATAGTAGAACCCCACTAATGAGACTACTTGTGGATCTGAAGAGAAATGTGGTCTTAATAGTATGGTGGTTTTAAGTTCCTATTGTCTCTAAAAGTAATGTTGGCATCAATTGACATCTTTTGGGGTGAAACCAATGAAAAAGTGATTTGCAATTTGAAGTATTATCTATAGCATGCAGGTAAAAAAGACATAATTGAACATTTACTTTATTGATATTTAAGTTCAACATTTTCTTTTAAAAAAAAAATTCTTTTTGTTTTCATTTCTTTTTCACTATAAAATAGCCTTAATAACTCATTTCGGAATGATAATGAAATATCATCAGTATAGCATTAAAAACAGGTTTTCAATTGAAAGTAAGCAGAATTTGCAAAAGAAAAACAAACCGCTAAACTTAATTTCAATTAGAAAATATTGTTAACATTTCATCACAGACATTGATTGTTGCAAATAATCTTTTGTTACCATTCAATAAAGAAACGTTACATAGTATTAGATAATCTGCCGAATTTCATACCAGGGCCGGCAAAATCTCAGAAAATTGTACTTGTCCACGGACAAGTAACCTAAGAAATTTACTTGTCCGTACTCAATGTTCACTTGTCCGTATTTATATTTAATATTTACTGCAAATGTCAATAAAAAGAGCAATATGATTATGAACTTCTTTCAATTTTATTAAACATTCTATGCCATATGTTTAATAATATAATATATTATGATTGTAATATAATATATTTATAAAATGTTAACGGCAGTAAGATTAAAGTAGAACGACAGTGATGGACAAATTGTGTATATTTTACTGGAAGGAGCATTGGTCTTTTGCCAGCACTTTTCAGTTTTTCTTGCACCCAAATTGCTCTAAAATATTTTCTTCATTGTTTTGCACTCTGGTATCATTTTCTTATTTATTCACTCCTTATTTCTATTCATCTATATAATATTCATTTCAATGATTTGAATCCTTTTTAAAAAATCATATGTACTCTTGAGTTAGATTTGTCAAATTGATGACATCTGGCTTTTTTTAACGATATAATTATGATTTGCCTCAAATGTAATATCATATACGTACGTATATACGCTTGGTTGCAGCGGATGAATTGTGAAAATTTTGACATCATTACCATCGGCGACGATGAAACTGACATGTATACATTAACACCAGTATTAGACATTCAAAAACAAAGGCATTTTCACAAGAAATCTTTACATAAAATAAATTATAAAATGACTTTGTCCACATAAATTCAAGCAGTCAAATTGCCGATATGAGCGTAAATATTCCCGAATGACCTGGAAAAGCTATACTGTACAATGTATTTAAATTTCATTCTACACAGTGGTATTTCAAAGACAATTGTTGCGAGATTGATGCTGTGTCCGCTATCTAAACAATAAATGCGATTGAAAAGACCACAGCTACCAATTCAATTTTATGGCAGAACCCCGTTGCTACCGAAAATATTTTATTGCAGAGGCTAAGTCGGCAGTCATAAACCAAAACAAACATGTACCCTCAATTATTAGTTAATTGCCACGCGCATGCAGTAACTGCATGACGTAAGGAAAACCCCAAGCCTGGTTGGTCGCTATTTATGTAAACACTTAAAATAGTAACACCCTAATATGCACGGAATGCCCTCATGACAGACACCACACTTCACACGCTAGTTTTCGTATTAAATGTGTGATTTTCCTTCTGATTTAGATCTATTAGAAAAGAACTAGATTTTTTTCTTCAGAATTCCTCTTTTAGCCGCCGAAATTTACTTGTCCACGGACAAGTAAACTGCATAATTTTACTTGCCCGGACCTACAATTTTACGACTCGGGCAACTCGGACAATTGATTTTGCCGGCCCTGTCATACCTATCAATTAGAAACAACCAAAACCTGTTCTTGATGCTGTAAAAACACAGGCCAATGATACAACTCTCCATTTAGCAGTTTCAAACATCAGATGGGAATAACAAGTATTTTCTGTATCATATTGTTTAATTAACATTTTCATTTTTAGCAGTGTTTCCGTCTTATTATTTAACAAACAATAACATGTAATAATACTAATATCCCAATAATTGGTCAATTATCACCTGCCTAATGTTCAACTTGACGCTGTTATTAATAAATTCATTAAAAAAAAACATTTTAAAGTTGTAAACTGCATTTATAAGTATATGCATACATTTATAATGATTTTTAAAGGATAAAAAGAAATATCAATATTTTATTATTTTTTAAATCTTGATCACTGTCCACCTCGTCTCTATTCATGGTCCGCCCTGTCCCTAAATATGGTCCCCATGTCCAAACATAAGGTCCACCCTTGTACGGTCCGCCCTGTCTCAAGGTCCACCCTGTCCGTAATGTGGGCCAAATTCACTCTTTGGGCATGTAAGATCACTTTATCAGTATCACACCAGTTCGAATTCAGGAACATGAAAAAGTATCTAACTTATGGAAATCTAATACTCTACAAGTCAAACTTAGTCATGATTTAATCATGCAGAATAATTAATAGATAGTTATTTACCAAGCAACTCTGTTGGCAGAGGCTCATTTTTGACAACCTTCATGCCAGCCCTTGAAGATTTTGCCATGTTGTCATCGCTACTGTCCTTACCAGATGCGTCAGTTGCATCTTTTTGATGCTTGCTCATAATCTTATAGGTTTATATGTTTACTTTAAGCGGAATTTTTTGCAAATATTATTGAAGTAAACAAATCACACAAGGAAGCAAACTCCTTCCTTCCAAGAATTCTTACAAAAGCTGTAGTTTCGAATTTTAAACATTCATGAATAATTTTTATAACAATTAATTTTACGATATAATGAAATTCAGAATAAGTATTTTTTTGATAATGGAGTATTTACTGATAACAAAATATATCAAACATGTTGTCAATAAATACGAGTATGCGTAAAGAATCATTATCGGCAAAGATGGCGGAGTTCGATCTCACCACGCGGATGGGCCAATATTTGGACCGACATCTGGTCTTCCCTTTACTGGAATTTCTTTCGGTAAAGGAGGTATGTTCCTTATATCATAATATATGGGTTTTCGGTAAAATCTTACAAATCCTTACTTAATGATTGTTTCTTTTAGTTGCCATATTTTGACACGCTGAAGTCTACTACTTTTCGGATATAACCACAGGGGGCCCACACAGTGTTTGGATGGTATATACTGCTTGATTGTGACCTTAAAATGAGATTTTAGTCATAACCTTATAATATGTATATAAATATAGACAAGGGGCATTACTCGCTAAATAGAGAATTTTCGATCACCCTCAAATTCATGCGAGATTTTCCACTAATTAAATAAAAAAATTCCAAAAACTATACTGCGTTGCATAGCTTATATAATCCACAATTTGATAAACACTTACTCTTTTCTGATTCCCTTAGCCCATTTTAAGAAATTTATTCAAAACCGTTCACTTCTGTCACAAAATTGCTTAGGGCAAAATA